AGAACTGTTACAGAAAAAAGCCGCCCCCACGCGGGCAAAAAGCCCTAAGACTCAGATTCACCTGTGTCACACTGCACTCGCAGCTTAGAGAACTGAGCTCTGACAAACAGGCTCGTGCCAGTCTCCTACAGAGACTGAAAATGGCACTTGGGGTCTAGAACGTTCCAAGGTAGAATGAGAATTAAGCAAGGAGGAGGGCATCATGGGCCCTTCTTAAAGGGGCAGGCGCCACCTTCGTGACGCCAGCATCCGGCTGAGGCTCCGGAGGGCTGCCCTGCAGACGCCAGCACTAGCTGGCCAATGTGCCTCTGGTCCCTGCGGGGCCCAGTTCTGGACCCCTGGGCCCTGAGAAAGTGGTTTCAGAAAACGTTTGACAAATGTTTGGCAGTTACAGATCTCCAGCTGAGGTCATTCGGCATCCCCCGAGTGGGACCTGGACCCAGTGACCGTGCCCAGGGCCCTCCTCAGGAGCCGGGCCACAAAATCTGTGGACGGGAGGGGGGGGCGAGGGGCAGGGCGACAGGGCAGAGGCCCTGAGCCCGACCCTGACAGCCCTGCTCTCTGTGACCCCAGTGCTGTAAGCAACACCTGCCGCACCGTGGCCAGGGAGTGGCGAAGTCCACTAAGGCCTGAGAGCTGTACAGAGGCGTATGGCTTGGCCTGCTCCAACTGGGAGCACAAGCTGAATGAGTGCGGGTCCCCTCGAGGATGAGTGAGCAGGAACGGGGGAGTGGTGGGGAGGAGGGGAGGGCGGAGTGACCTAACCTAGGGGCTGAGGGCCGACTCTGATGCAGTCATCGGGGCTCATCCTGGCAGGACCTGGCGGGGGGGGAGAGGGGTATATTGGGGTTGTTGTTGGTGGAGAATGGGCACTGGTGAAGGTACGGGTGTTTCATTGTATGACCGAGACTTAGACCTGAAAGCTTTGTAACTGCTCTCATGGTGATTCAATAAATAAAATCATAAAAAATGAAAAAAAAAGTTAGGTGGAGTTCATGCACAATTCAATCAGCTAATCCGTGGCTGGATAAATAGCAGTACTCCTAAATAAAAAAAAAAAAAAAGAGAGAGAGAGAAATCCAGAAAAACACGGCAAATCTGTACTCCAAGCACACTCCTCCCCAAACGATCCATTTTCCCCCACCCGAGATAAAGCCGACATGCTATGGGTCACATCCTCCTGCCACTGACCCCCAAAACCCGACACTCCCTCCTCCCACCCCGGGGACTGATGGCACAAACTCCATCTTTGTGTCACGCCATACATGAGACATTTGTCACTAGAACCTGATGACTCACTTCAGACCCTCAACAGAAGCCACAAAGATAGGGAGCACTGCTCGGGGAGCACCATGCAGAGGCTGCTCAGACCCTCTCTGCCTCTGTCCCCCACCTGCTCTGGGGACGACGCATAGACAAGTGGCCAGGGCTTGAGACCAGAGGAACCAAGCCTGGAGGAAGCGGGTGCTTGTGTTTTGTTTTCTCTGGAGGCTTCTAACTACGGCTCCTCTTAAGAGACAAAGAAGGCCGCAAATAGGCAAACACTCTGAACTCGGTTAGCACCCAACTCGGATCTACCGCCAAGATCTGCTCTAAATGAACCTTGAAAGGGTAAGCTAAATATCTCTCAGGAAAGCAAATAACCTTAGGGGATTATCTGCTCTCACTAAAAATGGGGGGGGAAAAAGTCTGTTTTGTATTTCTTGAAAATGTCAGCTTGACTCAAAGCTGGGGGTTCCAAAGGCAGTTCTGTTTCATCCCGCAGCACAAATGCTTCCTCCCTGCTAGAGCTTTGGCTCACGTCTGTCGAGCGTCTTCTGGACAGGGAAACACCAGCCCTGGGAGGTGTGGCGTGATGGGACACTGGCACACAGGAAGCACCTCAATTTGGGTCATTTTCCCCTCTCAGGACTCCGAGGACCCCTTACCCCTCGGGCAGCGCCACATGACATTCTATCAGGAAGTTACATAAAAATCAGTCTTCCATTCCAAACAAAATTTCAGGAGCTGCAGACACAGTTCAAGACTATATACAGCCTGAAGGCACAGGACATATGCAAACGGCATCTATTCACTGTCATCAGCGAGCCCCGTCACCCGCCTCACGCTGGCATTCAACTTCAAAATATCCAGATAGAGGAAATTTTTATGTGTCAGGGGGAAAAATCAGAGTTAGCAAGAGCTCGAAGAGAAGAGCAAGCCGGCAAACAGGACTGAGAGAAGGTGACCGCAGGTGAGGCCGGTCGTCTCTGGCCTAACCCGGGTCCCAGCCCCAGCTGCCCTGCAGAAGCCGCCAGGGGATACCCCACATGCCTCGGAAAACTCACGGACACCCCACATGACATGGAATCCCCCCAACGCTCACAGCCGCTGAGTACTGACTCACACCCGCCCTTCCATGCAAAAGACCTGAAGGAACAAGGATCCCCAGGTCGAAGCTTCTAGTGTCGGGGCTGGAACGATAGTACAGCGGGGAGGGCATTTGCCTTGCATGCAGCCAACCTGGGTTCAAATCCTGGCATCCCATATGGTCCCCTGAGCACCGCCAGGAGTAAATCCTGACTGCACAGCCAGGAGTAACCCCCGTGCATCTCCGGGTGAAAAAATTAACAATAAAAAGATAACACCGTGGAGGTGTGCAGACTGGGGGCGGGGTGCAGAGGGAGACCTCCCAGAGAGCCTGGCCCAGAGTGAGCATAACATCCCCAAAGACCCCGTAGGATGGCTCCGCCAGGTCTGGGGTGCAGCCTCACACTTGAGTCTAAGCCACCCTGGTCAGGATGTCCAACGAGTCCTCAGAAAAGAACCGGAAACTCTGCATTGGAGCAGACCACAGAGGATGATGCAGGGGAAGGAAAGCATTAGTGGGCCTCTTTCGAACTGCTCAGGGGCCCAGGTGACTGTTCAGAGCGGGAACTGTGTCTGCCTGCGGACAGCTAAGCCGGCTCCTGCCCGGCCCTGCCCAGCCCCGAGCACCCAAACAAAACATTCATTTTTAAAAACGGCGTATTACTACAGAGACACCTCTAACAACTCCCACCCGGCGAGGCTCAAGGGATAGGCTCTGCACTCAGGAATTATTCTGGTGGTTCTTTGGGAGCCCCCCAGCGCCTTGAGCCCAATCTAACTGCTCACATGACACACGCCAGGGTGCCCAAGTTCTGGGGTCCCTCGAGCAGAATACCCGGAGTGAGGGCCACTGTGAGCAGCTCAGGTGAGCAGAGCCGTGGCTACCCCTGCCGGGATGCTGACTTGGGGGCCATCGTGGCTCAGTGCGGGAGAGAAGATGTGAATGCAGCATCCACGGGGGGATCTGGGGCCCTTGGTTCCGACCTGTGTTGGGTCTGCCTGTTGGGATGGCCCCAGCCCGCCCGCACTGGGCTAGGAACGACCCTGGGTGTGACCGAGACAGCCCCTATACTCAGCTGGGGTGACCAAGCCGCTTCCTCAAAGCTTCCGCACTGCTGACTGGGAACAGAAGGAGCAGAGAGGCCTCTCCCAGACATGCAATGACTCACATGGAAGGTGAACCCCAAGTCCTGTCACCACACAGGGTCGGGCAGGCCCCTGTCCTATCACCACACAAGGGCATGCAAGCCCTTCCCTGCTCCAAGACTGGGGTGGGGAGAGACCATCGGGGGAGCCCAGGAAAGTTCTGGATTCCACAGGCCGAAGCCCAGGGACGTGAGCAAACCCACGGGGAGCTGGTTGACAGCAGCCCAGAAACCAAGCGAGCCCCAGGTTCTTTCTCTTAAGGTGCTGCTGAGACCAACATGCTGAGGGAATGGGGGCCTGGAAATCTGGTGATGCACCTGCGTTCTCGAAAGGTCAAGTCTTGAGACCAACAGCAGCAGTACCACAAATCAACTCACACGCCCAAGAACGCAGGGAAATGCGATCGCGTCTCAAACACACCTGCACAAGCTTCCAATGGCAGAGGGCGCAGAGGGCGCAGACAGGCACCAGGAGCGCTGGGGCCATGCACGGGTTCAAGCTGACTCCCTGGCTTGGCACTGGGGGTCACACCAGGCGGGGCTTGGAGGACCATATGGGGTGCCAGGGAACGAACCCGGGTCTGCCAGGGGCAAGGCAAGTGCCCTACCCACCTTACTATCTCTTTGGCCCTGGTACGCCGTTTTTAGAGGACATTATCAAGCTGATGTGTTTCCCCCTTGCATCTTCCCCTTCATTCCGGTATTTATTTTCTCTTTCCCTCCCTTTCTCGCTGAGGCTGAGGGTCGCACACTCTAGGTGGTGGTTACCCACTTTGGGGGGGGGGGGAGGTTTCCACTCGGCCTGCCAGAGCTCCAGCCATGCCCACTTTTCCCTATTTCCAGTGAAAAGTACGTCATAGGAAAAGCATCTGGTTGAAAACTCACATAAATCAATGCTTTTGGGTCCAGAGATTGTCTTAAGGGACTAAGCATGGAGAAACCTCACCGCACAGAAGAAAGAGCCAGAGTTCTGGCCCGGGCGCCCCTAAGAGCCAAGCTGACACTTTGAAAGAGAAATATTTCAGAAGTGCTCCCTGACATAAAGATAGTAAAGAAAACATATAAAATCATATTTGCAAACAAAAAACCACCTTTCAGAAAAAGACAACATTTAAAAAAGAAAAACTCTGGGGGGCCAGATAGACAGTTCAGTGCGAAGGTGCTTTCCTGATATCAAAGAGTCAAATATGGACCCCTGAGGACCCCCAAGAGTAATCCCTGAGCATCACCAGGTGAGGCCCCAAGCAAAAACCAAAGCAAAGCAAACAAATAAACATGTGCTGAAAATAACCAGTAGGAAACAGGCTGGGACGGGCGTGTGGGAGAAACAGAATTTCCCGCACACCCTGCATCCAGCCCTGAGGTCACACTGCAGAACCTCAAGAGTTTGAATGAAAAATGTAGGCAATTGTATTTCTAGAAAATGAGAATGTAAGGTTAGAGGCTTCAGGTCTTGCCAAGACTCAATCAAGGGGAAAGGCGGGTCACGAAAACAAAATCACTCACAAACCTACGTTTCTTCTGCAGGCCCGTGGGCAGCGGCTGCGCTCCTCAAAGTGGGGGCCCGGGAGAATGCGCAGAACTTCCTCGATTCTGCACCAACCAGGCCGGGAGAGCAGCTGGGCCAGCCGCATGCTGAGGGGGGCATAGCCGAGATGTCCGTCGGGTTCTGCGGAGGATTCGAGAGGGACACCTGGAGTCAACCAACTCCTCTCTGCCTAATGGGCCATGGGATTTTTTTTTTTTTTTTTTTTTGTGGAGGCCATACCCTGCGGTGCTCAGGGCTCCCTCCTGGTGCTGCACTCAGGGAACACAACCTGGGTTGGCCACATTAAAGGCAAATGTCCTCCACGCTGCCGTCCTGGATTTGACTTTGGGGAGGAACACAGTGTGCTCCAGCCTACCCCGCTGAGCCCTGCCATCTCCACCCTCTACCCAATTCCCAATCTCTCTCTTCTCTCCTTCTCTCTCTCCCCCCCACCCCCACCCCTACAGCTTTATGCATCAGACCTGGTGGTGCAGAGCTGACGCATGGCTCTGCCCTCACCTCTCCTGGCCCTGAGTCCTTCTGTCTCAAACCAATCTCAGAAAGCTGCTTGGTGTCCTTGTGTGCTGGAAGGTGCCAGTGCCCGGCAGCCCGTGCAGAGGGCAGGGGCGTGGCCAAACCCCAGCACCGCTGGGTCCGAACATTCAATGGTCTGCCCGGGAAAGATTCCATCCGACCCCCACAGAAGAAAAACTGTTCATCGATTTGGTGAGAAACTTCTCCTATGGAAACTTGGCCCACTGGGGGGAGGGAATGTGGAGAGCTCTAAGCCCAGCCAAGCTACTCTCAGGCATTCTTCCAGGGGCCGAGGCCCCAGGGCACAGCCACACCCAAATCTCCCAAGGGTGAGAGTGACAGCCCCTAGCATCACAGTGACCCCCAGTCTGAAACCCCCCCTCTCTGACAGTGACTCTGAGTCCAGCAGCCCCAACTGCCCACGGTGAGTCAGTTGTGTTGGTCCCCAATCCTCTTACTTGAGGCTGGCCTTTTCGCTGACCAGAGGCTTCCTTGAGCCCAGACCAGCCTCCCCCGCCCTGAGGCCTAAGTGGACAAGGGCCCCCGCTTCCCACCCCCAGCCCCCATCTTCAAAAAGTGTCCCCCAACAAGCCCCACTCAGTCCTGGCTTCTGCAAGGGCAGCGCCTTCCCACCAGCAGGACGCCACACCACTGGGGAAATGTGTGTGTGTCTATGTACGTGTCTGTGTGTGTGCTGGCGCGCGTGCATGTGCGTGAAGGCTCGGCTCGCCTATTAGATGGCGTGCATGTGCCTGCGTGTGCTCGAAGACTCGGCTCACCTGCTCATTCACATCGTCCATCCAGAGGCGCAGGGTCTTCCGGATGGTGGGGTAGCTGTTCCTGCCCCCCTGCTGGGGCCGCAGCAGCCCGGCCTTCTCCAGGTTCTGTAACGTCAGGATGTGCTCGTAGCCGTATGTCTGCAAGAGAAGTTGGGGAGCCTGCTAGATCTCCCACTTCCGAAGAGGGAGCGAACATTTTCACTCTCATTTTGATACTACTGTTTTTGAGTCATACCCGGCAGCATCCAAGACAAGTGCCTTACCCCTTTCTAGCTCTTGGTTTGTTTTTGTTTTTTTTTCTTTTCGAGTCACACCCGGCGATGCTCAGGGGTTACTCCTGGCTTTGCACTCAGGAATCACTCCTGGAGGTGCTCGGGAAACCATATGGGATGCTGGGAATTGAACCAGGGTCGGCTGCGTGCAAGGCAAACGCCCTACCCGCTCTGCTATTGCTCCAGCCCCTTTCGAGCTCTTTGGACCCCACATTTTCACTTTAAATCAGAATGCATGGGCCCAACGTAAGGAAGATAGATGACAGAAGGAAAAGGAGGCCAACCACACCTCCTGCCGTGCTGTTTTCCAGATGTCTCCTTTGTTTTGTTTGCTTCTGCACACCCCCCATGCTCAGGGATCAGTGCTGGTGGGGCTCAGGGGACCCATTTGCGTGGATCAGTGCTGGTGGGCTCAGGGGACCCATATGCATGCTGGGGATCAAGCCCAGGTGGGCCACGTGCAAGGCCAACTGCTTTTTTGGGTCTCACCCGGCTATGCACAGGGGTTACTCCTGGCTCTGCACTCAGGAATAACTCCTGGCGGTGCTCAGGGGACCATATGGGATGCTGGGAATCGAACCCGGGTCAGTCACGTGCAAGGCAAACGCCCTATCCGCTGTGCTATCGCTCCAGCCCCAACAAGACCAACTGCTTTTTTAAAAAATTTCTCCCTTGGCAAATGAGTCACTTAGAAACACTGACCTGGAGAATTTCTCTTTTGTAATAATCCAGAACCTTCTGCTTGAGCCCACTGTTGCACACCGACTGCAGGCAAATGAGCCTGAGCACCTTGATGAGTGGATGCTTCTGGGCGATGCAGTCCTCGATATAACTGTTGACCTAGAGTCATGGCAGGTTTGTGCGTGAGCACCGGGACTGGGCCTGCAGGCCTGGGCGTCCCCGGGCCCTCAGAGGCCCGATCAAAGAGAGACTGGAGATTGGCTCACGCTCCTGCCCACACTCCCTGGACAACCTAAGCTCCAGGGGCTGCGGGCGGGTGCAACTGTCCCACTTGTCAGCGACACCTGAGCAGCATCAGTAAAGTAGCAGGGACTGTGGGGAATTTGGGCGCTTGCTTGCTGCAAGTGAGAATGCGGGATTTATTGACGGGCAGACAGGAAAAGCGATCATATAACCCACGCTCTTATATTATCCGTGATGGGCTTCAATAGTCTTGGGCTTCAGGGCTGGGTCTTGTTTCTCTGAGGAGAGCGAACAGCAATGGAACACATGCACACACACACACAATGGAACACACACACACACACACACACACACACACACACACCACCCCCGGTCAACAGAAACCTATCCCTTGGCAGAATCTCTTTCCGCTTCAAGGCTGGGTCTTGTTTCTCTGAGGACAGCGAACAGCAATGGAACACACACACACACACACACACACACACACACACTGGGTCTTGTTTCTCTGAGGACAGCGAACAGCAATGGAACACACACACACACACACACACACACCATGGAACACACACACACACACACACACCACCCCCGGTCAACAGAAACCTATCCCTTGGCAGAATCTCTTTCCGCACATTTTGCACTGCCCTGGCAGGTATTTAGGCCAGACACGGGAATCAAAGCGATTCCTTTCCTACCTCGAGTTCTGTTTGCCAATCTGGTTAACTATTGGCTAAAACGGTTTTAGTGTTCACGTACCTTATCGGTGTCTATTCCGGACATAAACTCCTGCTCCACGGTTAACTTATCAAAGAAGTCTTCAGATGCTGAAACATAATTAACACACGAGCATCTCAGAAGTGGGAGAAATGCTCATTTCTCCCAGAGGCATGCAAAGTAGCAAGCAAGCACCAAGTTTAAGTCATCACCGGGAAGGCACCTTCCAGAACAGTGAGGCCGACGGCCTGTGCCCCGAGGTGCGCCTAGACACAGAGCCCCGGGGCCTGGGCCCTAGCAGCTCCCCCTTCACACTAATTAAAGCAATTTCCCAAGGGCATTTTACTTTGGTTCGTTTGGGGGCCACCCCCGGTGGTGCTCAGGGATCACTCCTGGCCGGCTTCGGAGACCATATGGACTCCGGGATCCAACCCGGGCCGGCTGTGTGCCAGGCACTGCAGTACCGCTCCAACTCCAGCTCCTTGCAACATCCGACTGAAACCAACTCAGCAAGTAGTGCCAGGTCTGGCGAAGCAGTGCTGGCGCCACCCGGAGCCTGGGAGAGCCCTGCTGCACCACCTGACCCCGCAGAACCCAACAGTCACACTCGGAACATTTCTGCGAGGACACAGCGGCTAGCACAGGGAACAATGCACAAGTGAAACAGTAGCCGGGGCCCCCAGAAGTAGCAGGGAGCCAGTGACACACCCTGAGCCTGAGCCCGGGACAGGGCACTCACTCGTCACGTCCTGGATGAGCTCGGCGATGGAGGTGTGGTTGGCCAGGGAGCCCCGCGCCGCCTGCATGTGGGGTAGCTGGGAGACAAACTGCTTGATCTCGCCCACCGTCTTGGCGTTGTGCCTTTCCTGAGGGAGGGGAGAAGGTCACGACAGTACTGGGGACAGCACTCAGGGCCACACACACACACACACACACACACACACACACACACACACACAGGGCGTGCCCCAGTCACAGCCACAGCAGTGCTGGGGAGGTACCCAAGGCCACACACACACACACACACACACACACACACACACACACTGTGCCTCAGCCCCAGCCCTGGCTGCCAAGAGTGCATTTCTAAGAGTTTAGGTCTTTGGGTTGCCCAGGGCACGTTTGAATCACATGCAAGGCAGTGCCCCAGGCTTCCTCCTGGCCTGGAGCTCAAGGATCACTCCTGGCCTGCACCGGGACCACATGGAATGCTGGGGAGTGAACCCAGGTCAGCTGCATGCAAGGTAAGCGCCTGGCCCGTTGTGCTATCCCTCCGGCTCCCCCAAATTAATTTTTAGTGTGAGAAACGGACACAAAACGAATTAGGCTATAACCAGATCCCACAGCCACAGGAAAATAGAAAAGGCAGATTGGTGGGTCCAGGGACTGCGACAGCCACATCCTGCAGCACTGGGAGACCATGTGGACAGGGAGGGAGCCCAGGGCCCACGCAGGCCACACCTGACACTGCATGGTCCCTGCCAGGGATGTGGAGCTCAGCAAACTGCCTTGAAGCCACAAAAGCTAACGCTCATATAGCCTGAGACCTCAACAATAGCAAATCAAGTGTAAAACGTTTCCTGGGTCCAAGCTATACAGTGGGGGAGGCGCTTGCTCAGTGCCCGGCCTCCCCACAGAACCCCGAGGCCTGCCAGGAGCCAGCCCTGAGCACTGGCAGCGGGAAGGGAGGGAAGTGGACACCACGGCGAGCTCGGAGCTGGCACAGTGAATGCCCGACACTTCTTATCCATAGCTTTATAAGTCACGGTGAGGAAATAAAAAATTGAGGAACAAAACCCAAGTGAACAAAAGCAACTTCAGAAATACAACAACCATGGGGTCAGAGTGACAGAACAGTGGCGAGGTGCTTGCCTTGCATGCGGCCAGCCTGGGTTCGATCCCCAGCATCCCATGGGGTTGCCTCAGCCCACCAGAAGTGATCCCTGAGCGCAGAGCCAGGGGTTAGCCCTGAGCACCTCTGGGTGTGCCTCCCCTCAAACCCTCCCCCCCCCCCAAAATCCAAAGAAATACAAATACTGATATAGTGGAGATAACTCCTAAAAAAGATGAAATCAGGAAATCCATCCTTCAAGGGAAAAAGTGATTTTTAAAAACTTCCCCAGAGTTAAAAAATTCAGCTTCTATCATTTTACTGATTCAGGTTTCAAAAGTGAGCTGAACCCAGAATAAAGAGCAGCAGGAGGGCGCGAGGTGCTAAGGAAGCTGGGGGCCGGGGACTGTGCTCTCAGTATCACCCGCCGTCCCAGCCTGCTCGGGATGATCCCGGATTCCCTAGATGCAGGAGCTAGCAGAGATGCCGCTACCACCAGCAGCTGGGAGGAAGGAGAGAGGGACAGGGAGTGCGGACGGTGACTGGCGAAGGACCTGATACCAGGAAAGGGCCTGGCACCACCTTTCCCCAGGCGCCCGCAGCCCGCCTGCCACCTGGCCCCAGGCCCCAGTCACCTCAAAGGCGGCCGAGATGACCTTGGCCTTCTTGCTGAGCACGGCGCCCACGGCGTTGAAGTTGCAGTCTCGGATCTCGACGTAGAGCTCCTCAGCTGAGTTCAGCGGCAGCTTCTTGGCCTCTGTGGGCAGGTCCTGCCCGTCACCCTGCCTCTTCGGGGCGAATTTCTTGGGCGGCAACTTTACATGACCTGCACGGGAGGGGACACCCCAAGTGAGACTCCAGAGACTTCCTGTCAGGGGAGAGCACTGGGCTTTGAGTCACTAGTTGTGCACGAGCGGAGGACGCTCACACTTTTCACGCACGGCTTCCCTGGCCTGGCCCGTGGGCCGCCTCCTGCCACTGCCAGCCCAAACCGAACTCAGGATGGGGCCACCCGAGGAAACATGCCCCAGGGCGGCCCAATGTCTGTCCTGCTGGTGCGTGCAAGTGCATGCAGTCTACACCGACATCTCAACAAGCCAAGAGGAGCCCAGGATGGGGCTGGAGTGATAGCACAGCAGGGAGGGTGTTTGCCTTGCACCGGGCAGACCCTGGTTCGATTCCCAGCATCCCATATGGCCCCCTGAGCACCGCCAGGAGTAACTCCTGAGAGCAGCACCAGGAGTAACCCCTGTGCATTCCCGAGTGTAACCCCTGTCACTGTCCTTCCATTGTTCATCGATTTTGCTCAAGCAGGCCCAGTAACGTCTCCATTTTGAGACTTGTTACTGTGTTTGGCATATCGAACACATCACGGGTAGCTTGCCAGGCTTTGCCGTGCGGGCAAGATACTCTTCGAAAAAGAAAAAAAAAAGAAAAAGAAGATCCCAGGAATCACCTCAGCATGGAAGTGTGCATGAGGGCGGGAGACAGCTCCGACGGCTTCTTTCCTTTCTTTTTCCTTTCTCTGATATTTGGGCCACACCTGTCAGTGCTCAAGGCTTATTCCTGGCTCTGTGCTCTGGGCTTATTCTTGGCAGTGACTGGGGGAACCATATGCGGTCCTGGGGACCAAACTCACCCTAACTGCTGCTCTGCCTCTAGCTCCAAATTGGTTCCTTTCAAAAAAACATCTCCAGTTTCAACACAAATCCCGACGTGTCTACACACAATCAGCTCCACTGCTGTGGGTCCAGAGAGACGGGTCATCGGGGGCAGCACACGCTCAAGTCCAGCTGTCTGTTCCTCTGAGCACTGCCCCGTGTGGGCCCTGAGCACTGTGGGGTGGAGCTGAGAATCATAAAGCAACAAGAACTCCTGCATTGGAGAATGTGGGGAGAGAAAGGGACCGATGGAAGGAAAATACTTCTTAGTGCTTTCCAAATCCTAAGCCCCTCCGAACAGCCCGGGCGCCAGCGTCTGGAGACAGCACGCCACGGTGGCCGCGGGACCCGGGGCCTGAGCACATGCTGAGATACATGAGGTCAGCAAGACCTCGCATTCCTGCTCAAAGCAGAGGGGCAGCCGCTGGCCCAGGCAGCCTGCACGCAGCTCCTGCACAGGCCTGCCATCGCCCTCGGTCCAGCCATGGGCGCAGAGCTGGGGGGTTATGGGGAAGCCCAATTTCCCCTTGTTTTTCAGATTTCTCTTAACGGTTTCTTTTGGGGGGGGGTACACCCAGCGATGCATTGGAATTACTCCTGGCTCTGCACTCAGGAATTACTCCTGGTGGTGCTCAGGGGACCATATGGGATGCTGGGAATCGAACCCGGGCTGAGCCGCGTGCAAGGCAAATGCCCTACCCGCTCTGCTATCACTCCAGCCCTCTCCCTTAATTAAATGTTTGATCAGCAGGAAGTGTGTGATATGAAGAGACTGTGAGTTCCTGAAACTCCTTCCTCCCGGAGGCACCCCACGAGTCCCATCTCTCACACCTCCGCACCCCCAACCCCAGCACCTCTGCCAGATCCCCCGAGACTTGCAGAAGCACCAGGAGGTGGGGACCCCTCGCACAGGGTGCTCCCGTGCCAGGACAGCTCGGAGCAGGAGTCTGGGGAGGGGCTGTGTGTGTGGCATCACCCCCAGTTGCTGCCAGGCACAGCCCTGGTGGCTCCAGGGCCACAGACTGGCCCCACAGAGCAGAAAATCACCGAGATCAGCCCCACGGCCCCTTGGGCACTGCTTACGACTGTCCCCACAAAAGGAAACAACTTAAGAGGTTATCCTTCGGAACAACTGGTAAAAAACAAACCGGAAACACCTTCATAATCATTAAAGAGCAGGAAAACGGGTTGTTGTGTGGAAATGCCTCCACATGTGGTCCTGCTCTGCTTCCGTGGCCGCCATCACTGAGCCACACATTCACCACTGCAGAAACACACACACACACACACACACACACACACACAAGCCATCGCAATCCACTCTGCAATAACAAGCTTGGCACACTGGACAGACAGCACTGTCCGGACTCGACCAGCACTCAGCGGCTGCAGGGCTCTGTGTCCCCAGAGAGACCCCATGCAGTTAGCTGCATCCCCGTCCTTCCAGACCGGGGCTCCATCCCCAGGGCTGTTTCCCCAGCCCACAACCAGGGCCACTCCTGAAGGCGCCGGAATTACCCCTCGTGAGGCCTAGGGCTCCCTGTTCTGAAGAAAAGACACAAATCAGACTGTGGGAAACTTCTCAGACTGTATCCCAGCAGGAGCTACTCCCGGCTCAGTGCTCACTGGACGAGGCAGGAGTGTGGATGGAACTGAGCGCTGGCTGTGCGCCTGGCACTAGCCCCGTGAGTTTTCCTAGCCCCCACTCAGATCTGAAATGCTACAGAATCTAACATCCGGGGCCAAACCCCCCTGACCTTGGACCCAGGCACCCCTCAGAAACACTCTATTCTTCACGCCTCCCTGGGCGGCCCCAAGCAGCGGGGCTGCACACCGCATGGCCCTCTGCACAAGGCCTTCGCCTCGGTTTCCCCGATGGTGTCCTGGCTCGAGCTCGCTTTAACCTTGGGCTGAAAGTCAGTGCCTGACATTTTCAAATATTCTGACTTACACACAAAGGCCGCACCTTCGAAAACTTTTGAGATTGATTTTACTCAGCTAACCTATTAGTAACTGATGTCACTTCACTTACTGTTCTGGATGCCATAGATTTCATCGATGAGTCCCTCGTATGTCAGCTGAGTCGCAAGGGGCGTTAATAAATCCACATTTCAATCAAGCAACAAGAGGTTATCAAAAACAGGAAATACTGAATTCTGGCTTCCTGCAAACTCTCTCTTCATCCTGATCATCATATTGGCCACTTGCTGGAAACAAAGTACAGAACCAGGCAGAGCCTTTTTAGCAATGGGCGGATTTTTTAATGAAGCTAAAAAGAGCCCGGCAATCCAAAATTTAAAAATAAGACGGAAAAAAATGGAACAATAAAATAAAACAAGACAGGCCTGAGACAGTATGGTGGGTAGGATGCTTGCCTTGCAGGTGGCTGACCCAGGTTCAATTCCTGGCACCACATACGATCCCTCAAACCCTGCCAGGAGTGAGCCCCGAGCACTGCTGGGTATGGAGAGGGTGGGAGGAGGGAGAGTGCGAGAGAGGGAGGGAGAGTAGGGATGGAAAAGAAAAGATAAAGAACAGAAAAGAGAAAAGGAAAGAGGGCTGGGAGACAGCAGAGGGGCCAGGGGTCACGCCTTGCATGCAGACAGCCTCAGTTTGGTGGCCCGAGCACAGAGCCAAGAGCACTGCGAGGTGGAGCCCCAATCTCCACCCGCAGGAGAGAAGCCCCCCTCCCCGCCCCGGCACACCCTGGCGCACTCGCCCTTCCCGAAGATCTGGGGGATGGTCCCGTACAGGGCCTGCAGCGTCATCAGGTACTTGGCCGCGTGGTACAGGCTCGTCTGGTCGCTGTCCAGGTAGCACTCCTGTGGGAGAGGGCCGGGCGCGTGGGCACAGGCTCTGCGAGTCAGCACCGAGGCCCCAAGACAGCGCCTGTACTGGGGGCAAGCATCGCTGGGCGGGCGAGGAAAGGCTGGCCTCTGCATGCCCACGTGACCACACAGCAGAACACGCTGGACTTGCAGAAGGGCAGGCAGCCTCTCCCACATACAGCAGCGAGTGTCACAGGGGACAGGAGGACACGGTCTCGGAGAAGAGCCACAAGGTCCATTTAACACACAGACAAAAAGAAACATCTTTGGCCCAGAAAGAGGGAAGAGCACGTACGCGCCCCCAGCCGGGCGGTTCAGCAGGGCTGACAGAGCACACACGGTCCCCAGCGGGGCCTCAAGATCACTCCTGCGCCTCAATCCCTTCATCCAGCAAGTGCAGAGACCAGAGGAGGGAAACCACGCAACGTGCTTCACCTGCACTCCACCTGATGTGGCGGCACTGCTGGTGCCCATCGCGGGACTCTCTTTATTTTTTTCCTTTTTGGGTCACACCCGGCAATGCACAGGGGTTACTCCTGGCTCATGCACTCAGGGACTACTCCTAGTGGTGCTCGGGGGACCCTATGGGATGCTGGGAATCGAACCCGGGTTGGCCACATGCAAGGCAAACGCCCCACCCGCTGTGCTATTGCTCCAGCCCCTCATCGTGGAATCTTTGACCCTTTCTAAGGAAGCGGCCAACAGGCGTGCACCCCAAAGGCATGAGGACGAGGGGTGCAGACTGGGGGCGGGGTGCAGAGGGAGACCTCCCAGAGAGCCTGGCCCAGAGTGAGCACAGTATCGCCAAAGGTCCCGTAGGATGTCTCTGTCAAGTCTGGGGTTCCAAGTCTGGGACACTTCAGTCCAAAACATCCTGGTCGGGATGTCCAAAGAGTCCTCAGAAAAGGACCAGAAATTCCTCATTGGAGCAGAGCAGAGAGGAAGATTCAGGGGAAGGAAAGCATTAGGGGGCATCTTTCAAACTGCTCAGAGGCCCAGGAGACTGTTCAGAGCTGGAACTGTGTCTGCCTGCGGACAGCAAAGCCGGTTCCTGCCCGGCCCTGCCCAGCCCCGAGCACCCAAACAAAACATTCATTTTAAAAAATGGTTTATTACTACAGAGACACCTCAAACAACTCCCACCCGGCGAGGCTCAGGGGATACCCTGGCTCTGCACTCAGGAATTATTCTGGTGGTGCTTTGGGAACCACATGGCTCAGCAGAACCGTGAGTCAACACAGGAAGCTGAGGGCTGGAGTCTGCAAAGCCCCTGAGGGAGCCCCGGCAGGTCTGGTCACGCCAGGCATTTCCTCTCAGCTGCCGACTGTCACGTAGAGGGACAGTGAACAGACAGACGGATGAGCCCGTCCCTGCACACAGATCCCGACCCCTGGCATCCTCTACTCCATGAAGCTGACTGCGGGGGGGCTCCGTGTGTGTGTGTGGGGGGGGGGGTTGGACACGAGCAGCAGACTCCGTCCTGTGAGGGCTGGAAGGTCCCTCATATTCACACAAGGAAGCCTCAGAGAGGCTTGGTGAGGGCTCCGGGGCCCTTGGCAAACTCCACCCGGGCTGGGTGACGCCCTCAGCGCGCCGAACCCAATCTGACTGCTCACATGACACACACCAGAGTGCCCATGTTCTGGGGTCCCTTGAGCAGACTACCCGAAGTGAGGGCCCCTGCGAGCAGCTCAGGTGAGCAGAGCCGTGGCTACCCCCGCCGGGATGCCGGCTCGGGGGCCGTCGTGGCTCAGGGCGGGAGAGAAGATGTGAATGCAGCATCCACGGGGGGATGTGGGGCCCTTGGTTCCGAGCTGTCTCGGATCTGTCTGTTGGGATGGACCCACCCCGCCCGCGCAGGGCCAGGAGCGACCCTGGGTGTGACCGAGACAGCCCCTACCCTCAGGCGGGGTGACCAAGCCGCTTCCTCAAAGCTTCCGCACTGCTGACTGGGAACAGAAGGAGCAGAGAGGCCGCTCCCAGACAAGCAATGACTCGCATGGAAGGTGAACCCCGAGTCCTGTCACCACACAGGGCCGGGCAGGCCCCTGTCCTGTCGCGGGACAGCGGGGAGGGCCTGGACGCGGGGCTGCGCTCGGCCTGCCAGAGGGACTCGAGTCGCCCCGTTTTCCCTCCCAGGGCCGGGCCGCAGGGCAGGAGCGCAACGTCCCCTCTCTCGGGCTGCACTGGGGGCACCCCCGGCTCCAGAGGCCGCCGCCAGCCCTGGCCCTCCCCTCGCTGCCGCGCACTCGCCCGGGAATCGCGCAGGGAGTACAGGGTCTCCAGCGCGAGGACAGGTGCGGCCTCGGAGCTGCCCAGCCCCGCCGCCATGTGATGCGTGGGTCACGTGAACATCGTGACGTCACGCCTCCGCAGGAAGCGGCCTGGGACCCCTTGCCTCTTTCGGGTCCGGGGTTCCGCCTCTTGGTTCCGCCCAGCCCCGACTAACCCACCTCAGGCCCTAGGGGTGGGCGTGGCTCAGGCCAATGTGGGCGTGGTCCAGGGAAATGGGCGTGGCTCGGCCCCCAGGTAGGCGTGGCCTGGGCGGATATGGGCGTGGCTCGGGTCCACATGGGCGGGGCCGGGATTCAATCTCATTTCTCAGCTTCTCCAGCTCTGTGTCCTTCTCTGTGAGCAAAGCGCTGGTAATACTGATGGATTTCTGCAGGGAAGCTTTCTCTTTATCGGGGTCTCTTATGAACACGGATTCTCTAAAAGACCAAAGAGTTCAAAATGCCAGAAATCAACCCAGAGAGAGGCCAGTGCAGTTGGCTCCCAGGACTGTTGCAGGGGGAGGGGCCGAGGCTTTGATGCTTGCAGAAGTTTAGTGAAATTTTACTGACTGTGAGGGAGAAAAAGTTTGACTATGTGTACATGCCAGAACCTGCGTATCATTCTGTCCATTTGAATTTAAAGAAACAAGTTAATAACTTTGGGAGACGGAGAACAGAAAGAGAAAAAAAAGGACTTGTTGCACCCACACCCCCCCCCCCCCAAAAAGAATTCTTTTGAACAGGTAATCCCAGGTTGAAGTGCTATTTCTTGAATAAATTATTACCAAGCTATGACAACAATTAAATCACACACACATGCAAAGCAATTATATGAATGTCATGCAGAGCGGCTTTATGCTGGGAGTATCCATTGGTTCTCAGTCATTTCAGTAACTTTCAGCAAGTTCGGAGAACATGTTTTTGAAACCTTTCTGAGCCAGAACAGGGGCAAAGATTGTTCAGACTAATCCAACAGAGAATGATTTTCATCCAGACTCTGGAGAGGACCAAAGTGAGTTGCTCTTAAACGGCCAGACTCGCCTCAAGGCTGGCTTGCAGAGGCGGAGATGGAGGACCTGGCCTCGGGAGAGAGGGCGGCAAGACAGAGAAGGAGCAAAGACACAATAGATACAACCCAACGGGTGTGTCTGTGGCTGTGTGTGAGTGTGTGTGTGAGAGAGAGAGCATTTACACCACAAAAGGACGTGTGTGGGGGAGCACAGGGCGGGGACGGACGGCCAGTCAAGACTGGGCAATGCCACAGCCTGGAAAGGACATGAGAGGGGACAGAAGTGTGGCTCCTGGGATGCATATTTGGAGAGAGACAGAGGTGCGTGTGAAGTGGGGGATCTCATTAAAGTCTGGGGTCCAGGACAGCTGTGGATGTTCATGTCCTGCTCACTGGTTCAAATCTGTGTGCCTTGGGGACAGAGGGAATTGCAGCCCTGGGAGAAGTCGGGAGGGCCAATGGGAACTCCCTCCATCCACCTTGCGGCACTGGGTCATGCATGTTTAGATCACATGCACTGGGCCATAGCACCAGTGATGCGGGCAGGTGACACAGTGAAGGAGGCGTAACTTACAGCAACAAGCTGAGTCTCCCTGGTCCGCGGGTGAGTGGGTGAACGAGGAGCATGTTCCGAGGGTCGGATCCCTCCAAAAACTGACAGGAGGAATCGGAGACTGAGGCCCACATTAGAAATGGCAGAATGTACGTCTGGTTAGTGAGATCCAAGATATCTGCACACACATTACAGAATTCTCACGGGTTTACAACAAACTGAAATTCTCACAGAGATGAAAAGAGAAGTGTGTATTTATCTCAGTGTGTGGCTCACACTTACACTCCAGATCATTAAGTAGTAAGAAAAGAATCTGAGACTAACAGAGATCTCTTGAATTCAACCCCAAGGGCTGGACGTACACCAGAAAGGGTGGACTTCAGTGCAGTTAAGCTATTACATGAGTAACTCCTCGCTAGGAAACAGGATCTTGTTTAGGTGGAAATAAGAGGGTTTTAGAGGAAAGGAAATCTCTGATGCAATCCCGTGGGTCAGGAATCTTGACTTTCCTATGGCATGTGTTTGGGGGCTGGACTGGGGTCTACACTTCACAGACAGGAGAGCTGGGTTGGTCCCCAGCACTGCATGGTCTCTGGAGGCGGGAATGACTGCAGAGCATCTGCGTCCCCAAAGCAAAGCAAAACAAACTTATTTGGTAACTGATGCCACCATAAGATTATTTTAAGAGTTCCTTGCTCTAAATCTAACACACACTTAGAAAATCTGATTTTGAATGTTTATTCAAAGTGAAGGGGTTTAAGGAAGATGAGCAGATTCTGATTTTTTGGGGGGAAGGGGGGTTATACCGGGAGATCTCAGGGGTTCTTCCTGGTTCTGCACTCAGGAATTACTCCTGGCAGTGCTCAGGGGGACCATATGTGATGACGAGGATCGAACCCAGTTGGCCGTGTGCAAGGCAAATGCTCTCCACGCTGGAATGTCGCTCCAGTGCCAGAGCCCCATTCTTCGGTCAGGACTATCCAACTTGCCTGAGCCATGAGCTCTGAGGCAGGAGGAGAGGGCAGCTTCCTTGGCGTGTTCCTGACACAAGCCTGGAACATTGCACAATCTCCCAGCCGGCTGTCCATGACAGGGCATGTGTGGCGACCCCTACATGGACACGGCCAAACACACCCCGGCAGCTGCTCCTGCTGACCAG